CATGCATACCCACCACCTTTCGCCAACGATCGGGTAGAGAGGCAACTCCATCCTCTCAGAAGCCGGCCGCCGCGACTCGCCCAAGTCCTCGATCACGTCCTCGAGGTCGCGCTCGTTCTTCAGCTGTTTTCCGTCCAGGAAGTTTCGCATGGACCGGAAGATGTGGTAATCGCATAGACTGATGTCCGGGCTATATGGTGGATGCGTGAACGTCTTGATGCCCAGCCTGTCCAGGACGGCCTGAGTATCTCTCGCTTTGTGGGGGCGCGTTGTCCCAGAGCAACCACGGATTTGCAAGTTTCTGGGACAAGGCGGCAGCTTTCACCTTGACCTCCTGCAATATCCTTTAGAGAGGTCTTCTGCGGTCCGACTGAGTGGTATCAGTTGGGTCAGGGTGCCACATAGTGGACCGACGCGGTCGAGAGAGATACCAGAAACAACTCGGCATATCTTCGAATGGCCATAGTTTCCAATTGGTGGAGGAGAGTCCCGAGACCACAATTTTGACATCCAGTTCTTAGAAGGGGTGTTATCACCAAACTGCTGACGCATCCTGGTCGTGGCCTGACGTCTGGAGATGTCCAGATTGTAGTAGTCCAGCAACTATCACTCATCTTCACTGCTTTATTGTGGAAAGATCAGGAAAGGAAATTTAGAGCTAGCTAGCTCAGAAGATAGCCCATCGCGAGTACTTTCAGTATTGCGAAACCATTATGCAAAATCACAACGCGTTGCGTAACGCGACGCTGTTTACAAATGGCCAACGAACTTTGTGGACACCCTAATAGAATGGAACGTTAGCTGATAATGCCGTTTGGACGCATGCAGTTTTGGCATCGAGCCCATTTTCAAAGTGTCTGAGTCCAATTAGAAACAAAGAAACAAATATTGGGGAAAGGAATACACTCAACATCACAGATGATCCGTTTCGCCCGTTATCGTAGACGAATCATCGATGTCTTACCAACCCCCGGGCCAACGAAATTTGTGGACACCCTAATAATAAAGTGATTTTTGAGATGTGTGAAGACTATGCGTAGTTCCTGGGCCAAAGGCTTAACACTACTGCTATGTGCACCTGTGATGTATCTGAATTGACTGGATTCTTATGTAGCTTTGGTAAGGCATATATAGTAGGTATTTCTGCATCAATGGATATATTGATATTATTCTTTACACAAAGGAATTTATGCTTCAATATTAAAGAATACTTGTTAGTATGAGGCATTAATTCATATGTGTTATTACTGTTTCCATAGACAAATGTGTGGTTGGCAGCATCATAAGAAATGCCCATTTCATGCATTATGTTCAAAAGGTAGAACTTCTTGCAGATGATGCCATAGTTATTATTTGCTTTGTCAGAGGACAGAACACGTATTTTTCTTGATATTGTTTGATTAAGTTGTAAGGTATGTGTTCTCCTATATTTTCAATATTAGCCTTTGTCAGTAGAGGTTTTACTTTGTCATGGTAACATGAACGAAAATGTTTCTGTAATAGATTAATCCTTGTGATTGCTAGCTTTGTATTTATATTTAAATAATTCATGACCTTGATGAGTGTATCTTCAAACACCATTTAACTTCTTGTCTTGTTATGCCTGTGTCTGATCTATATTGGTCCCTTTACTCAGCAATCTCTGAAACTCTCTTCTTTTATAAGATTTACATTTCCTGTGATAACGTGCCCGTAATCTTTATCCACATAATCTTGTACTGTGTTTGTAGTACATATACAATCGTCGCTGAGTATCTTAAGCCCGCTAAAAAGTTGTGTACATGGGTAATTTGACATCCTGATTATGCATATGACACTCATTCGTGACGCCGAAAGAGGGCACTACGATTACCTCCTAGGCTCAGCCTTAGCAGAGCGCAGATAATCGTAGTGTCATCCATTAGCGCCAGCGCCAAGAATGAATGTCATATTCGTAATCAGGATGTTAAATTACCTCTATATACAAGTAGCAGATTTGGTGATTTAGGCACTTCGAAAATGAGCTCGGTGCCAAAATTGCGTGCGTCTAAACGGCATTAGCCAACGTTAGCGCGCTAGGAGAGCAGCGAAATTCCTCAACACCCTGCTTCGACAGTCACTTTCATCAAGTTGTATTTTTTCGAGACTTGCACTTCCTAGCTTCTTTCTTATCCACGAAAACGGAACTTCCGAACGCTGCAAAAAATCCAATAAAAATGTCAAAAGTACGCAATTCGGACTTGTTCTAGGTTTCTTTTCATTGCTGTAACACCACGACATCCATCCAACAGGTTGGAGCGGTAAGTTGGACATTTAAGTGTAATCCATAGTCCCACTAACCTACCTTAGCCATCACCAAATGTTCTCATGCGTCATTACACTCCCTTGAGCAGGTTCTGCTGCTTGATTCGAAGAAACGCTTCTATAATATGTCGTCTCGTACGCCCAAGTGTCATTTTCGATTCGTCCTCTTGCGTAATTAGCCACCGTCTCCTAAGAAGTTTTTCTGATAAAAAGCCCCAAAACCACCCATGCCGATTCTGCGTTTGCTCGTAGTGACTAGTAAGGCACCAAAGCGACTTTTCCTTCTTTCTCAAAATAGCCAACAATTAGCGTAGATGTTAATGTTAATTGTTAAAGACAGCGAGCATGACAGTTTGACTTAACGTAGGCTAAAAATTCGTTGTGGGAAAACGCAGTTTCTCTGAGAGGGCACTACGTAGCGCGTTTTTTACCAGACAGCGCCCACAAAGCGTCTCAGCAGGCCATACCATTCGACAGCCCATCAGGAAATAATTTGTTGCCATCAGCTGCTTTTACCTGCGATCAACTGTGAATTGGCATTTATTCACCTCACCAAGGAAGGGTAGCTTTTTTAGGCACAA